TATAAATATATAAAAATGGCGGAAAATAAATTCCGCATAGGAAATCAATTAAAAATTGATTTATGAAGAGCGAGGCATGATTAAAAAGGAAACTAGTTCAATATGTGCACAGATCTAAACCAAGCGACGAATAAATTACAGACCAATCTGGATGAAACAAACTATTGGGGTTGATATGTCAAGTAAAATCCATTGGCATCGTGAAGCCTACACATATCATTCTACTAAAATTCAACTGACATCCTTCAGCCCTTACTGCGAATGAGACAAAATTCAGTCCAAAATGAACTTAATATATTAGCGCTATCTGTAAAATTTCGACTTAACAACAAAATAAAGAATACTTTTTACGGTTATCTGGAGATACATGGAATAGATAGAAGGCAAAATTATGTAAAACAACGAAATAAACTGGCGAATACAAAACTAGACTTTATTCTATCGTAGTTGCTGATACTAATATAGGATGACAAATCATCGGTATAGCCTATCAAGGTGTTGACTAGGCGAGAACTGAAAAGTCATGCATCAAGATAAGTATTAAGTTGACTAGATATCAAACATAACGTGAATATCGCAGTATCAATAGGGGCCAATAAACAACAAATCAGGCTGATGAAATTAAAAATAATAATCTAAATTGTGATTACTTCCTTTCACATTGCACTTCCATTAGAGCCCTTTATAAAGTTGATTATTAGGCTTAAAGAGTAGCTCCTTGAAATGAAAAGATAAATTACGCACTCTCAATGTTAGGTAAGGAGAATCATCTTTCCCTGATAAGTTTAAACTCAACATAGCAGAACAGACATGAACCAGTACTTAATGATATATTCAAAGTAAGATAAATAATATACTTTATCAGTGGGTAGAAGATGACAAACTTTAATGTAGACCATGGGATAATCTTGCAATCAAAATTATAAAGAATATAGCATTATAAGGAAACATTACGTACCATTATGCCAGTGTGATGGTAAATACCAGAGAAATATGTAAAGAAATCTGGATAAACTTGAAAGCTAACTGGAAAAGGGCCCTTGTTGACCAATTCAAGCAGCATTAAATCTTCATTGGTAGCACCATAATAACCCCCCACGTAATAATAGTCAGTGGAGTAATAGCGCTTGCAATCAGCAGGAGTCATGCATTTACCCATTGGTTTTCCGTTATACCAATTACACTCCTCCTCTGACATTCCAAAGTCTTCAGAATACTTTCCTACGGTCAAATATGTAGACCCCCCATCACAGCCTATAAAAAAATAATATATTGTTAGAAATTAAATTAGCCGGTAGGCTATTGATAAACAAAGTAATATGGCAGCTCACAATTTTGAAAGAAAAATTTCTTTATGTCAGTGGACTCAAAATGAGGTAAATGAATACAACTAAGCGCGCCTTAAAAGTCAATTATGCAGGGAAATCAGAAACTAAAGACATAAAAATAAACAGCGAATGCAGTTACTAAAGCTGGCAAAGGTTGAGTTAAATGCAATTTTACTTGATAAGCAGACCCATGTATATTCGCAAAATCATAAACATAAAAATTAGATTAAAAGAGATTTTAAAAACGGTGTCAAGCCTAAGTATATCGTTAAAAAAGAACTATTAACAAATTGTGTTAATTGAAATATACCTTCAGAATAGTTACTACAATCAATGATATCCTGCGGAGAAAGTATAGGCTGCACAGTATTGTTAGACAGAATTCGAATCCTTGATTCCAAAGCAGAAAGAGACGCAAATGCATAACAACATCCACATTCTAACTGATTTCTAACATCACTGACCACACTTTGACCATCTGGTGGTGAACGCCAATCAAACTCTTTGGGAAGTTGATTAACTAACTCTTTAAGTGCTTTGGTCGTAGGAGCTGCTCTTGGGCGACTAAAAAAAAGTAAAGTATAAAGAGAAAGTATAGATAATGCATTGACTAATATAAGACATAGCTTACTTTCTAAGAACGGACTTCTTACCACCAGATCTGCGGTACATATCCAACAATGAATATTTTTCATGCTCCACATAATGTCTAGCCGTCCAAGAATACTGAACTGAATTTATCTGAGAAATAAAATCAGTATTTTTCTGATACAATCTATTGCCAAGATGCTGATTATCAACAGCTATTGGTACGATATTTAGCGAAGGTGTGTATCTACAAATATTAGTTACTGGGGCAAAGATTAGTTACCCTATTTTCTGAGCAGAGAAGCAAGACCACTGACGAATCAAAGTGTCATGCGTCCAATTTGGTATTCCTTTGCCACAAAATGATTGAGATGTAACGCTATCATAATCAAACATTACCAGCCACTTTCTAT